GTGCTGAGCGCTGTGGCGGACACGCCGGCTTCAGCGCGGAGGATGGCGAGAGGAGGCCGAGGGAAGGGCGCCGAAGGCTGGTGGCACGCAAACAGAATTCCACGGGAGCCGGCGACGGCCCTGCTGGGGATGTGCCCAGAGGGGCTGACAGCGGGGACGCGAGCAGGGGTCCGCACACCACGGTCACTGGGCACTGCCCACAGGCAAGGGTGGGAGTGGCCCCCGTCCGTCAGGGTAAACGGATAAACTACAGGTGGTCCATGCTCACAATGGAGCGTTATTTGGCTTTAAAAGAAGGGTATCCCGACACCTGCTGCAACATGGAGGAACCGCGGGGCCGCTGTGGTCAGTGAAAAGGCCGGACGCGCAGGACAGATATCGCGCGGTCCCATTAGACGCGGCACAGAGGCGGGAAGCAGAGCGGTGGCTGGGGGCCGAGGGGACGGAGGGACAGCGGTGAGTTTAGTGGGACAGGGTTTCAGTTTTGCACGACGAGGAGTTCTGTGGGCGATGGCGGCAATTGGTTGCACAACAGTGTGAATGGACTTGAACGCCACAGAATTGTGCACTTAAAAAATGGTGAGTCTTATGTCTATTTTACCACAGTAAAAAATGATTTGAAAACAAACAAAAGTAGATTGTCAACGCCCTTGATTGTGGGCAAAGCAGGGCCCGGCCACGCAGGTGGGTGTGTGTGTGTCTGGGGAGGGGGGGGTTCTGCGTGCCCCGGCCAGGTGCTGCGGCTGAGGGCGCTCCCATTGATTTGTGCGGCTTTCAGTGGCTTTGTGCTGACGATGGGCTGTGCTGTGAGAGTGGGGGGCAGGCAGCCTGCTGCAGGGGCACTGCTGGTGTTGCCCGCTGCCTGGCTCTGCTCTCCCCCTTCTGGGGACAGAACCCCCACTTCTCCATCTTTCCCACCGTTAGCCTCTGTGGATGGTGGGGACTGATTCCAACCAAGCCCCCTCCAGGGAGGGGCAAGGGATCAGGCCTGGCCAATCAGAGCGTCAGAATCTGCTGGCCTCAGCAATTGGCTCAGAGGTGGACACGTGACCCAGGACTGGCCATCCGTGTATTTCACAAACCTCACAGTGGTTGCTTCAGGGGCCTGGCCAATCAGAGTGTCACAATCTGCTGGCCTCAGCAATTGGCTCAGAGGCGGACACGTGACCCAGGACTGGCCAATCCGTGTATTTCACAAACCTCACAGTGGTTGCTTCAGGGATCGACAGGGTCCCGAGTTGGACCAAAGAATCTTATCTCCAGGCTTTTGTAATCCCCACACCCTTCCCCCCCGGGGCCACTGGGAGACTAGGATGGGACTGATCCTGGCTCTTCTGCCACAGGAGGAAGACGCTGCCAGAGAACGGAGCCCAAAGCGGGAAGAAGTCAAGGCTCGAAGAGACACAACAAATACTGTCACCCGGGCACCTAGATCCAGCTGCGCCTGAAGCCCTACCTCTACCATGTGAGCCAATGAATTTCCCTTTAAAAACATATCAGGGCAGCTTGATTGAGATTGGTGACATGCAACCCCATTCTGCTCTACAGAACCTCGTGCTGCCGGGGCTGGGAGCTGGGCCCCCGGCGGGCCTCTGGCCCACCCCTGCTTCCAAGGTTTGTGAAGAGCACTGACTGCCCTCCCTGGAGCCAAGGGTCATGCGCCCACCTAAGTCCCTAATTTAGTCACTGCCAAGCCCGCCCCCACCTCGGTGAGGGAGGGAGCCCGCGGCCAGCCTTACCGGGCCTGGATCCCGAAGGTCATGTTTGGAGGGATGAAGGTGGGCTCCTTCCTGTAGCGCCGGTTGTCCTTGCTGCTGACGCGGAAGTCGTTGAGCTGCTTGTACAGGAGCGTCTCCCGGGCGGTCACCAGGCCCGCCTTCACCGCCCCGCGATTCGTGGCGATATAATCCCGGTTCAGCTCCTGGTGGCGGGTGGGCTGAGGCTTAAACACGTTCCAGTGTCCGATGGCTGAGGGCAGGGAGAGACCGGTCCCGGCCGGAGGTCAGCGGGGAGACACAGCCGCTCGGTCCTGTGCCTGCCGGTCCCGGAGCCTGCTGCCGCCACCCTGCTGCTCCGGGGGGAGGGGGGAGGGATTCCCGAGATCCCAGCGGGCGGTGAACACCCTGCCTGCAGCTGGGTAGCCGGGCCTGGGTGTCCTTTGGGTAATCAGGGTCGGTCCTGAACCCACCCGGGCTCACAGCTTAAACCCAGGCTGACTCCTTCCTATTTCCCTGCTTGGTCCTTCGCCCCCCCACGCCCAGACCGTGGGATCCCCCAGATCGAGGCTGCAGGCCCGTTTCCCAGCTCGTTTCCCAGCAGTGGCCCAGGGCGAGCGCTCCGGCTCCAAACGCGCTCTCTCACCTTCGGGGACCCCTCCATCCAAACCCTGGACATGCTCTCACCTTCGGGGACCCCTCTGTCCAGCCCCCTATGTGCTCTCTCACCTTCAGGGACCCCGCCGTCTAGCCCACGGACGTAGAGCCCATAGTTGAAGTCGATGCCAGGGAGGCTGCAGCTCTGCTCCCGGGGCTTCCCGAGCTCGGCCTGTGGGAGCACAGAGAGCGGAGGTGAGGCCGGATCTGGGACCCGCTGCTCTAACATGTCCCGCAGGAGTCCCCGATGCCCGCCGGCCCCGCTCCCGTGGGCAGCCTCAGGGCCCCGAGGGCGGCTGGCG